GAACTAACTTTACACCATCAAAAGTTCAGCATGTTCAGCGCGACCTTCAACTGGTGCAATTTCGGCTTTGGAAATTGCTGTGGAATTTAATCACGGTCCAATTACTGAGCCAATCGTCGCAAATTGTCATATAGGATCCACTTCTCGTTGAACGTGATAATATTATTGAAAAACGGATCACTCTAGTCGAGCAAAAGAAGCGCCGACGACACATCAAAGTGGCGACTTCTTCGATTGTCGCTCAATTTGTGCGGCATCCGTTTTCCGAGCCTCTTCGACTTTCCAACTTGTTTAAAAATCTTGTTCCAGAATAGCTGAGATTCCCACGACCGACTTTCTATTAACCTTGGCATTGATCAAGTAATTCTTCGCATTTTTGTTGAGCAAACGCGAGGTGTTATTATTCTCTATTCACGAATAAGCTGACGTTTCGACGGATTTGGCCTTCCTCAGAGCATGGAAAGGTCAAGTTGATAGCAATCGACTCGGCCAGACGCCTGCATAACCAAACAAAGAAACTCTGAACCAAAATTTCAATCACATTGAACACAGCTTTGCACACTCACCGCTTTCTATGAAGTTTCCACTAAGTATGTCACATAGAGACCAACCGCACAGAAATCACATGGAAGCATAATATGCCCCTACCGTCAGAATACCAGTCTTATATACTGCCCTATATCACGCGTGATAATGAAGCATTCTTCCCTGCGGTTCATTTTCGGATTTCTGGAATTAATCCAGAATGCCCCGAGAGTTTTTCGCGCCTGTGTTCTTGATTCGCGTGCGAGGTTCGTGACACATACTTCAAAGTCCTCCCCGTTATGTCTCTGGGCCCTATGCGTGCCTAGCGGGGCATTTGGTCTATGTTTGCCGGCTTAATCTTAAGCGCCAACTAGTTCGTAACCGCCTATATGACCGTCTATGTGCAACTCAAAATTGCATAATTTGCCCCAGTGGTAGAGACGGTGATTGCATGAGCTCGGGTATAGTTTATCTGATCTCCTGTAAGACGTGCGGTGACGAATACATTGGCGAAACGAGCAGATCCCTCTGTGCCCGCATAAAAGAACATAAAAGAAAGAACATAAAAGAACATAAAGAATAAACATAAAGAATAACATAAAAGAACATGGTTTTTAACCCTAATATTTAACCAGTTGTTGAAACACATTTCAGCCCATCTTACGAATACCCAGATGTTTCTGAATCGTCTACGTACTGTGCAGCCCAACAGCGCGTGCGTAATGAAGTCCTTCGACGTTACCGCCCTTTATACAAACGTGTCGAATGACTCCGCAATGCAAGCCATATTCGAACTCCTTACACAACACGAAGGAGAAGTAAACATGTATGGCTTCAGGATAGAGCACCTGATGGCACTCTTAAAAGAATGCTTGAGCTGCTCAATCTTCAGATGGTCTGGAAAGTATTACGCTCAAATAAGAGGGTTGGTAATGGGACAACGACTGGCTCTAAGCCTTGCCATTGCATTTATGTCTAAGGTGGATGCACCGGTAACTGATCTCCGGCCGCTACTCTACTGTAGATATGTAGACGACTGCTTTGTCCTTTGTTCAACACAAGAGGAAATGGACAAATGTTTCGAATTGTTAAACGCACAGTCAGAGTATATCAAAATCACCCGAGATAAGCCGAAGGAAAAATGGCTTCCACTTTTGAACGTACAAATTCACCTATCAGAAAATAACTACATTACAAAGTGGTACCGAAAGCCAAGTAGTAAAAATATCTTGGTTCATTACCTCTCCTCTCACCCCTCTCACACGAAAAGGGCGCTTATAAGAAACATGTTTCGAACAACAACCAACGTGTGCACAGGAAGACAATAGAGAGAGGAGTCCCCAAACTTGGCGCGGCAAATAGCCATTTTTAATGGCTACAAAACCGTAGCTCGAGATAGGTGTAGAGGAAACCACAGGTACCAAACGCTGCTTAAGGAGGGCGGGTTTAGAGAATTCGGTAAACGTAGTTGAAATACCACCGAGTAATCTTAAGCGCCAGCTAGTTCGTAACCGCCTATATGACCGTCTATGAGCAACGCAAAACTGCACAATTTGCCCCAGTGGCAGAGACTGTGATTGCATGAGCTCGGATATAGTTTATCTGATCTCCTGTAAGACGTGCGGTGACGAGTACATTGGCGAAACCGGCAGACCCCTCTGCGTCCGCATAAAAGAACACCTAGGCGGCAAACATAGACCAAATACCGCGCTAAGCACGCATAGGACCCAGAGACATAACGGAGAGGACTTTGAAGTCTGTGTCACATTATGCTTCCATGTGATTTCTGTGCCGTTGGTCTCTATGTGACATACTTAGTGGAAACTTCATAGAAAGCGGTGAGTGTGCAAAGCTGTGTTCAATGTGATTGGAATCTTGGTTTAAAGTTTCTACGTTTGGTTATGGAAGCGTCTGGCCGAGTAGGTTGCTATCAACTTGACCTTTCCAGGCTCTGAGGAAGGCGAAATCCGCCGAAACGTCGGCTTATTCGTGAATAGAGAATAATAACACCTCGCGTTTGCTCAACAAAAATACGAAGAATAGCTGAGATTATAACATAAAGTTCTTCTGCAAGTTCAAGAACACTCGTTTACGGTAAAGCCTTCAATTAATCGTCATCAATACCAAGAAAACGTCCATGACCTCTCTTATCCTCAACGTCGAATTCGAAGCAACGGAATTTTTAAAACTAACTTTTCTACTTTCTTTATATTTCTGTTGAGCAAGTACGAAGTGTTATTTTATTCTTTAATCGCGAACGAGCCGACGTTTTGGCCGATTTCGCCTTCTTCAGAGCTTGGAAACGCCAAGTTGACAGCAATCTACCTGGCCAAACACCTCCATAACCAAACAAAGAAAACGCTAAACCAAGATTTCAATCAAACTGAACACAGAATAGCTTCATCGCATACTCACCGCTTTCTATGAGTTCCACTGAGTACATCGCGTGGAGACCAACCGCACAGAATTCACATGGAAGCGTAATGTGCCCACCCTATCAGAATAACAGGCTTACATACTGCCCGATATCACTTGTGATAATGAGGCATTCTTTCTTGCGGTTCATTTTCGGATTTCTGGAATTAATCCAGAACGCGTCGAGAGTTTCGCGTGGCTTGTGTCCCCGATTCCTGTGCGAGGATCCTGACCTACACTTCAAAGTTCTTCCCGTTATGTCTCTGAGTCCTAGGCGTGCCTAGTGGGGTATTTGGTTTAAGTTTACCGACTAGGTGTTCTTTTATGTGGATACAGAGTCGTCTACCTGTTTCGCCAATGTATTCGTCTCCACACGCCTTACAAGAGATCAGGAAAACTGTACACGAACTCATGCAATTACCGTCTCTACCATTAGGGCAAATTGTGCAATTTTGCGTTGCACATACACGGTCATACAGGCGGTTACGAACCAGCTGGCGCTTAAGATCACTTGGTGGTATTTCAACTACGCTTACCGAATTCTCTAGATCAGCCCTTCTTGAGCAGCGTTTTATAGCTGCACTTACATCATTTGAGATGAAGAGTAGGATAAACAGGACCTTTTTATCGCTAGAGTTATCGTTTGGCTGCTCGGGATTTTTCCTACACCTAACCAGAGCTACAGTTTCGTAGCCGTTAGAAATGGCTAGTTGCCTTGCCAAGTTCCGGGACTCCTCTCTCTGCTTTCTTCCCGTGCACACGTTGGTTGCTCTTCGAAACATGTTTCTTACAACCGCCCTTTTCTGTGTGAAGGGTGAGAGGAGAGGTAATGAACGAGTATGTTTTCGCTACTTGGCTTTCCGTACCGCTTCGTAATGCAGCCGCTTTCTGATAGGTTGATTTGCACGTTCAGATATGGAGACCAGTTTTCCTTCGGTTTCTCCCAGGTTTGCGTTCGTTAACACTTCTCAGACCCATATCTCACCAATGTTTCCAGTTGTTTGGGTTTACTACGCTCGAGGTTGAATTCGTAAAGTAGATTTTCCAAAGTTGCTATTTTAACATCTGAAGTTCTCACGGCTAAAATTTCTCAAAAGCAATATATGGCATCTATTGCCAGAACAGTTACTATTCTTTCATTCTATCGTAGGTCTGTGGTAATCACATTCGTGCTCTCTCACATCGCTTTGCGATCTTGCAGCTTGTGAATGTTTTCACTACATTGAGAAAAACTTTGGTTGTCGTAAACATCCCTTGTTATCCAAACTTTTTATTATGTAATCGAAACTTTTTGTGTGTTGTTTCTGTTCCAAACCATCATGAATAAGAAAACGTAAAGGTAATGAACTTTTATTTGGCAAATAGTCTCCAGTCATCTGATATGATCACGAGGGAGCTGGATGTGGAAGTCGACGAATGTTTTCGGTAAAAGTTCTGGACCGGTAAAATTACTGAACCTGTGCCAAAGCAGCGCCTCCTCCAGAAGACATTTAAGTAGCCCCGTGAGCCAATATCGTATTCGCCACCTTGCTCATCATGTGTGATTCGTCATGTAACTAATCCAAGGTGTTCTCTCTTATTGTATGTGGTCACTGTTGTATATAAACTTTGCTGTCATGTACCTCTAAACACGCTAACTCTATTGTGTGTTCACGTTAGCCTCGTCGCAGTACACTCATACTCCTACATGTATTTTCTAATACGTTAACGTAATCGCAATGTACTTACAAGTTAACACATAACTTCATCGCAATGTTATCACAAGCTTATATGTCGCCCTTAACGTGTCAACCTCATCAGAACGATATCACAAGCCTACATATAATGTGTAACCCAATAGTATTGCTGTTTGTGAGTCAGATATTACGGCCTCATATAAATCCCTTAATGTGCCTAAACACTGTGACACTATTGATGTATTATAAATGCACATGGCAAGTTTCACTAGCCTATAGCAAAGATACTAACCCGCCTTACCCTCACTTATTGACCATGACACTGTATTGTACCGATGTTTATATTTTGTTATTCTTGAATTATTACAGTTATAAACGCTTTGATTACCCAAGTTTGAGATATTGCTCCGCGATAACTACGAAAAAGTCCCGCGTGTCAGCTTCTAAGAAGTCGAGCATCCTACTCAAAGCTAGTGATCGCGAGGTGCCAAGAACTGACTCGAAGACCTATGTTCCATTAGCAACTACTACAATATTTCACATTTCAATTATATAGACTGGGAGTGCATAAAATGCGTCTTACAATGATATATAATACTACAGGACGCCAAGAAATGTGGATCAAACACGTTCGAGAAAAATAAGATTACAAACCCGAGAATAATCCCCCAAAGTCTTAATGGATTATAAGGTTCGAATTTCGATTTCAATTGTTGGTAAACTACATATATTTAGACTGTATTGTGAATCTTTTTAATGCTAGAAAATAGTTCAATTTCGCAATTTTCACCTTGCCATGAACGTCAGTAAATCTACAGAATAGGTAAAAGCGAAATAAGCAGCTGTTTTTGGAGCTACATAAGAGGCTTGCAAAGCAAAAAAACAACTGAAAAAAGAAAAGAATATAAATATCGATGGACCTACCAAATCGATCTTTGTTTAGTGAAGATGACATCCTCAACAACTTGTGCCGATCAAACCGTTTCTTCGTTGACTGCGATTCATCACGTAGATTGTAAGTGATGACAAGATTTTTGCAGAAGTTTTCCGCAAATTCTGGATACATGTCAAGAACGTCGAGCAAATCGTCTCTGAAATGCGACAACAAAACTCGTCCACCCAATAGAGATCAACAGAAAACCAAGGTAAACGTTATATAAAATATCGTTCTATCGATAGACTGGCTATCAAACCAATTTAGAAACAGTGAATCTCACTAGTCTCAAAAATCGTCAACTGCTATACCTAAGAATTTTATGAAGATCGCAATAAGTGAGAGCACGAACGTTACATGATGACTTCCCAACATCTTCATACAAAAGCGGGTTCTCTCCAAATATATCATCTTTTCCTAAAATTTTCAAGTTTTAGAATATATAGAATTAGTTCCTCAATATCGTCCTAATGCACGAATGGGATCCACATTTTTATTTGGAAGATGAGCTAAGAATAAATCTATAGCATGGAAGAGGCATGCAGACTACCTATGAGAACTCTGCTTCAAGAAATAGTGAGCATAAAGGAGCTCAAAGAAATTTGGAATGTTCTTTCTATCTGTCAAACAGAAACTGGAAAGCTTTGACTCGCCAAGGGACAAATTGGAAGGCTTTCTTAGTTCCCAATGGAGACATTGAATGACTAGAGGAGCAACAGGAAGTAAAAGTAATAGGACAATGTGCAACAATGCAGTGGAGAAAAAGTTGCAAAGCTTTTATTGAAACAATTGCCATTAGATCAGTTTTGGTGTTCTAGCACATTTCACTGAATAAATCTCGAACTCTAAAGAGCTACTTCTTATCCAAAAAAATGAAATTGCTCAAATTCGATTCTGTGGCTGAAAAACCGACCAAGAATACCCATAACGGTGTTGTCATCATTAAGAATTTCCACACTGCCTCTGGCGATGAAATGCAATCCGGTGAGAATGTCACCGCGATGCACGAGAGTGTCACCCGGAGGTGCGTGAGTGGTACGAAATCTGCAAAAAATACTAATTTTCTCTCACAAGAAGGGCTCGGAATTAAACAAGGAGTAAAGAAACGCTAAAGAGAGACGTTTTTCGGTGCAAATAAATACACTACACCACTATACTTCACTCCGTAACTGATTGGACTCCCGTTCAACACCAACTACAACTAGTCGGCAGTCCATTACTAAGGATCACGTACGGCTAACACACGAGGGGTTTGAAGGGTCTGAGTGACCTCGAAGCAAGAGTGGAAAAGCAACTGTGAAGTGGCAATCAGGTTTTCTGCGCAAAAATATCATGAAATCCGAAGAGTAATTAAAGCAATTAAGAGGATAAAGTCATACCTAAAGGTAATTCGACAATTTGAAATTTTGTGATAATGAGAGAAAATAGCCGCATGCTCAACAAAGAATGGAGATTTAACATGAAAACTGTGCCAAACATATACGAGAAAAACTGTGAGATGAAAAGGTGGTGAAAAGAACAACAACAGTAGACATATGATAAAGTATGTGTCGCTCACCTCATACTAAGTGCTCGCAGACATCCGGGCGTACAGCCGGCGAACGCCGGACAACTGTTCAAAAGATTCCGATTAAGATGTAGACAGATATCCGCTTGCAGACAATCCGGAAAACCTTTCAGCACCTGGATTGAACTAGTAATGAAGAATAAAGGATAAAGCGTTCGATTTTAATCAGTCCCTTAGCGATGTTCCACTAGTTATCGAGTTCGTTAGGCACTTCAGAAGTAACTGAATGCATCCAGTCCCCTTAAACCAGTCTGGTGCCATCTTCCCAATCGCGGAAAGATTATAGCTTTATTTGAACCGAGCGCCGCATCGAACTAGCAACTATGTACATCGCAGAGATACCTCCTAACGACTGTGTTACAAAAGTACTTTTAAGATATTAATACGACAATTAAAGTTGAAGTCGTAAAAAGAGAAAATTGTCGCGATATGCATAATTCAATGCTACATCAGCACATTTATCGATCTATCGATGAAGCCCACCAAGTTCATATCGATTCCGTTCGTATAGGACCAGGCATGCTGAAAATACTCTTCGAGTCGTTGTCGTAGGGGATTTGGAATCTGATGGAAACGAATGAACTCGCGCAATCGCGACATTTCCGTGTGATATCTGAACAGAACCTCACTGTTTTTTATAACTTCTTGTACAAAAGAAAATCGAAGTCGAATGTTTTTTGTTGTGGTAACTGGATGAATGACAAAATTTAAAATGCTTTTGCTAAACTGTTCTTTTCAGTGATTTTACAGACATAGAGAAAACTTGTCACATATGAGAGAACTTTAAAAGCTTTATGAAGTTGATAGATGGGGCAAGGAGAAAAGTAAATGAATACAAATAAAGTGACAGAATGGAAAAACTAAAGCATTAAATAGATACCAATGAAAATAGAAAACTAAAAAAAAACGAAGGAAGCGATACGGGCACGTAGGAGCAAAAACTTACACAAACAACTCGGAAAATCTTAAAGTCTTAAATTACTTATCTTTACGGTTAAAAATAGTGAATTTTATTAATAGAAACAAAAATCTTACCGTGCTGTTCCACTGTACAACCGCTGAATGATAGCGGACACGTTACCGAACACAGAGGCATACATTAAAGCTACAATCGGACATATTGAAACGTTCTTTACAATGTAAAATGTGCAAATAATAAGGTGTAAACAGGAAAGTACGAAAAGTAAAGTGTAAAGAGGAAAGTTGTCGCGTGAAAATCACGTCGAAAGAATCGGAAGTCAACTTACATCCTAGAATCATCATTATAATAGTGAATATCTTTTCGGAATCCGTCGTCGCTGAGACGTTGCCGAAACCTGAAAACAAACTCATCGGAAGTGAAATAATTCTAGTCGCTTTGTCGTTTTACTGCTATCAATTTGTGCACTCTCCTCTTATTTTCAGCGCATTATATTTTAAGAAACTAGTTCGTTTCTGGATTTTCAAGTACGACATATAACGACGATTCATCCGTTGTGCATGGATATCCAATTCGAGAAGAAGCTCGACATTTCCATCAAGAGATCTAGCTACGCGCAGTCTTACAGATCCAGGAATCATCCCCTGTCGTGTAAGAAACCTGGTCAAAAGATGATAAACCTTTCTCCGATCTACAATGGATGGCCACGGATGATCACGTAGAAATGCCAAAATATTCGAGACTCTGATGGAAAAGTAAGCATACCAAACCATCGATGGTATGCTTGGTTGGTATTCGAATACTTGAACAATCAACCAAGTTTTTAAACAACGGCCGTGTAATGATGAAGAACTGGTGCCGAAATTCTTAGAAATATATCCTTTTCTCGGATCAAAACTGTTGAAAACGTCCAAAGCAAAATGAGATAAACCAGTTGAACAAATTCGGACATACTCTTTAACTCTTGACTTAAAAAGCAGGTAGCAATACTCGAAAAAGGAAAAAGGATAGAAATGTTGATTTTTGCCACTTCTCCAGGATGATCTATGCATTGCTTCATTCATAAACACGGTGAATATTTTCATCAACGACTTGTTTCCTATCATGAAAACTATAAAATTTTAGATTTTAGACCGCAAACCTATAGAAGTGATAGTTGACAGTGTAAAATACAAAGATGTCACATATCGGCTCTTCAACGATGGTCCACCCGTTGGTACTGTGCCATTTGTCGACAAGTACGGTTCGTTCAGATGTCGAGCTACAAAAAAAAAGTCAGTGGTCTTCAAGAAAAAAAACTGACTCTGATGGATGGAAATACAGTCCTATAGGTGGAAAAAGGTGAAAACCACCAATCGATACATGCTTGATTTATGGGACAGTGACATGTTTATGTGCAAGATCACCCATTCTTTATAATTTTGATAATTTCTATTTTTTTACTTCTTCTAACTTATTCAATCAAACCAATACTGTATTCGAAACACTTTTACTCGGTATCCCATCTAAGATTGAATATCCATTAAAAACCTATCCGTATACTGTCGATAAGGCAAAGTCACAAATGTTTGGTTGAGTTCTGCTCCACTTTCTCCAGAAGTTAACAAACTGTTATGTTACTTTAACACTTTTTATAGCTAGTAGCTTTCCAAAAAGGTTTTTTTTATTACTATGATGTCAATTTCAACGAGAATGCGCAACTTTAGAGACATTTGCTTAGAACTCCATTTAGAAGAGTTCGATCCTTAAGAAAAGAACATCGAACGGTTCACCGATTAGTTAATGGTTACCATACTGCAGTCCACCGTACTCGCTCATCATCTCCAAGGAAGACAGCTATTTCAGAACTGAATTAAAGCATTCAACGTCTTCCGAATCATGCTATTTGCTCATCGTTTATAATGCAAATATGATGCAAATTGATTGTGAGCGCTCACTACCGCACATGAACTTGTATGGACGAACGGTGATGATTAAGCCGCCCCTGTATTCACTAATCAAGACTCCAAGGCACCCTGCAATCCTCTAACAACAACCTTATGGAGGTTACAGACGAAGAGCCTAATGGTAAAAATGAACGAGTAAATCTTTTGAAACTTCCTAAGCGAAAAAGACCACATTTCCAATATCAAATACCAACGTAGAAAAATTTTTAATATTTACATTTACAATTTTGCAGCCACCACTTCATCCTGCCTTTCATCTTTCGCAGAGCCTTAACAAATCTTCCTAGGCAGCAGGTGATTCCGGTTGCCGAACTGCAATGTAGAGCAACGGGATCGCAGACAAATCAATGCCTCTGTAGAGCTACAGCAACTACCCGTGGCTAACTTCCCGCCGAAAGCAGTAAAGAATAAGATAACTGAAGTAAGATCGCGAGAATAATCTAGTCTCCTTGAGTGGGCAGAGGTCACACCACTCCGGTAACCGGTGGAAAAGAATGAGGTTTACTAGTACACTATCGAGATACTCCATGATTAGTGAGATTACGGATGATACTAGTGATAACGACTGCACCAACGATTATCCATTAGTGTGCTTGGAAGTACCCCATAGCTAAGATTTTCAAATAAAATTTTTAGGATAGAAAAGTTAGTTCTCGAAAATTCTATGTATAAATCGTATGAGATGCTGGGATAATTGCAAAACTCCGGACCACAGGTGTATGCAGTGGGGAACGAACACGCGCTGCTCCCCGGTAAGGACAACAGCGCGTGTTCGTTCTCCACTGCATACACCTGTGGTCCGGAGTTTTGCAAATATCTCAGCATCTCATAAGAGTTATATTTCGCAACATAACCTGCCATTAAGAAAAAAAAGGCAGTAAATAAAAGAGTTAAGTCTATTTATAAAGTCCAAAAATTCACAGCGAAAAACAGTTTTCGATAGTTTCGCACTCATTCATTGGTAATATGTATGGTCTCCCCTCAACTATGTGTTCATCCGTTCCTCACAAACGAATTCTTTCCTCGTATTCATTCGACAAGGCAAAAGCTCCCCATATCCATTCGACAAGGCAAAAGCTACCCATATCCATTCGACAAGGCAAAAGCTCCCCATATCCATTCGACAAGGCAAAAGCTCCCCATATTCATTTGATAAGGCAAAAGCTGAAGCATTCCACAGTCGAGATCACCCTGAATAATATGTTCAACGATGACCGATTCTACACAAAATCGTAAACGGTATTGAAGTAGTGTCGATCGACGGGAAGTTCACTAAATTCTGGGAAACTTCTCGCCTAATTGACATACAAAAGTCCTATAGTTTTTAAAATAAAGAATAAAAACTCATAAACTTACATAATTGATGTAACCAGGTGATTTCTCGTTTATGTGGCAATTCAGCACTACCGATAGCATACCATATACAAGCCAACCAATGAGCGATCAAAGCGAACGTCGCCATTAACAGTAACAACACGGCAGCACCGTACTCAGAATATCTGAAAAATATACTCGCAAGGTCACTAAAATAGTTCACCTAATAGTAGAAAAAAAACATTTTTATGAAACGAATTCAGTGAATAAAAATTATAGCATGTCCGAAAGAATGCTTGTAGATTAGAAATCTCGACGAAAACAACAAGTTAGTGTTTCTTCTTTCAAACCATGATCGGTTCCGTGCAAATGTGTAAAGCGGTCAATTAAAGCCATAAGGAAAAATGGGGCACGTGTAGCGTAATGGTTAGAGGTGCCAGTAATATACAAAGGATTGAACCTGCGCCCCAGGTTCACCAAGTTTTCTATCTCATCGCGGTCAGCAAATTGGTACCAAACTTGTCTGGGAGGAAGCAGCACTGACTTGACACATGGGTAGACCACAGCGACTCAATGTATAGAGCAGATATGCATTCATTCACTTCTAGCGATACTTAACGAAGTCGAATGCAATGCGCACTCCTCAAAGATTGACCAAGAGCTTTAACCTTTACCCTTTTATGGAAAAAATAGGCATAAAATTTAGAAGCTGCCTATGAAGAAAAGTTGGGTAGGTGACTATAGCAATTTTTACAAGAATGTCTTTTAAGATAAAAAAGCAATTTCGTCGACTGCAGCTTCAGCTTATCTGGATTCAATGCCGATTTGCGTTTCTCATATCATTCGTGTTGACCGTTGATTGCAGATGACAGCGTTGAGGTTAAAAAATGGCTGACAGAAAGGCAAACCAAGCAGCTCAATGGTGCAGTAGGTAACACGTGAATCCCCGGAAAGGTCGATCGCAGGTTCGAATCTGACCGGGGGTCTGAGTTTTGCAAATATCTCGAAATTATTGTGGTTGTATTTCACAAAAAACTTGCGTTACAGAGAAAAGAATAGAAACCGTTCTGTATTTTTTCTTTGAAACTGTTAAACTTAGTCTATACCGCTGAGAAAAAGAAAATGAGTCAAGAAAACAATAGATTTTACATTTTGGTTGGATCGCAAGCAAAAAAGCTATGAACTGACATCAATCAAAAAGATAATGGACAGAGCGGAAGAAATATGGAAGATAAAATCACACATAGAAGTTCAACCATACAGAAATGAAACAATGGTACAAATAAAGAAAACTAGTTAGCGATTGATGGAAACTTACTTTAACACTCACCTATCTAATTTCCTCGCTACCCGAACTAACCGTAATAATCGAGCAGTTTTCAGTAAACCAATAAGGGTTGTGGTCTGTAACGACAAAAAACTCTTCTCGGTCACTTTCTATTACTACAAGCTAGCCACTGCTACGTAGAACTACAACAGTAATTAGAATCATTCGCCATTATCGATTGTTCCAATTTTCACGAACCAGTCAATAGCGCCCGATCCTTGGCCGCACTCGTAAAGGAATATTCATCATTCGTGTTCTTCTGATTTTCAGCTCTAGTGAAATCGCCGATTTTTTTCTTACCATATCACCATTAAAATGCGGTTACTTATGTACTTGAACTTACCGGTATTTAAAAAAGCGAGGGTTTTATCATGCCCTGATAAGAAAAAAAACGCACTTCATCACTGTTCGTGTTGACTAACAACAAGTCAAACGGTACGGCAGCTATCATATCTATGATGAACCATCCTTTGAAATAGTGGATGGCAATTTTACCCGGGTGTGAGACTACCTGAAAACTTCCACTTTAACTAATTATTACAGATTTTGACTCTAGCACAACATAAGAAATTGAAGACAATTCAAGTAACATAGAGCACAAACGAGTCATGAAACCGTAGTTCCTGCACTTGCACGTGCACCACTATGATACTGTAATTACTGCTTTTCAACGGTTCATCGCCAATCAGGAAAACTGGGTACTTCTGAGCGACGAACTACTATCTAAAGTGTACGTCCACCCTGACGCTAAAATCACCGAAGTTGACAAAAACCTTCATCCGGAAATCCAGCTGCAAGCAAGGAAAGGCGAACCATAGATATCGTTGGGTATTCGGTTGTTCAGAAATAAATGAGCGTTCTTGCGTATATTATTTAAGATGTCATAAGTTGCTTCAAACAAAATTTCACCAATCAAAATAAAAACCATTTGAATCTACACATTTTTGCAAAAGGAAACAAGTTTATTTACTACAGTTGCACAAAATTCTGGAGTTCAAGATGCGATGAATTCGTCGTTGAAGGCATTTTTTACGTCATCGTGGTTGATGAAGCATTTCTCGCTCAAGAACTAGTTAAGGTGCCTGAAGAAGTTATAGTCAGTAGGCGACAGGTCTGGCAAATATGGCGGATGAGGCAAAGTTTCTCTCACCAACTTGTTCAACTTCTGCAGCGTTGATTCCGCAACATGAGGTCAGGTATTGTCGTATAGAAGGATTGGCCCTTTTCTGCTGGCTAACGCCAGTCTTCGCTGCTGGTGTTTACGGTGCATTTCTTCGATTTATTAGCAACACTTCTCTGCCGGAATCGTTTTGCCCGGATCCAAAAAGCTGCGATGAATCGGCCCGGCTGCAGACCACGAAACGGTCAGCATAACCATTTTTGGTGTAATTTCGGCTTTGGGAAGTGCCGTGGAGCTGCTTGATCGCAATCCAACCATTGAGCTGAACGTCGCCGGTTGTCACATAGAATCCAGTTCTCGTCGCACGTAACAATTCGATCGAGAAAAGAGTTGCCTTTGTTGCGCAGAATAAGAGCAGACGACACTACAAAACGGCGATTTTTTTGATGATCGTTTAATTCGTAACCCAATTGTCGAGTTTTTTGTCTTTCCCTGTGATTCAAGTGATTGGAAATTGCTCCTGTGCTTACGCTAAGACGTTCTCCAAGCTCTTAAACAGTTGTTCGCGTGCTTGCTTCTACCAGTGCGTTCAATTCATCGTCGTCAAGTTCTTAGGACGTTCGCGGTCTTCCCTATCTTCGAGGTCAAAATCACCAGATCAGAATTTCCGGAACCATGTTCACACTCTTAGCCTTTTTATTTACTGCATATTCTTTTTAATGGCAGGCATGTCCACACTGTTGATTCACCAACGCTACCTTCACTCTAAACTTTGTTAATGTTTCACGGCGTCTCTGCTGCACTGCGATAGGGTTTGAACTCATGAAAGAAAATCTGACGAAAATTCGTTCCTGACATCCAAAAATGCAATGCTCAAAATTGGTAAAAAAAATCTGGTTTTCAATAAAATATAAAAATATAGCAAAAAGCATAAAGTTTGTTTTTTAATGACATATAATATTGCAAGGCACAAAGGATATATTGGTAAACAATACGTTTAAACAATAAATATTTTAAAATGCTCACTTAATTTTGTACAACCTTATAGAGAAGACTTCAAAGAAAAAGTCGAAAGCGCCCAAAAAACGTCGTTTCGAAACCGTGGTTGTCTTAGTGTCATTCAAGCGAGAGTACTCGACTGAACATGAGCAACGGGTGCCAATGACAAAAACTTTACTAATGCTCTTTCAAACCTCTAGAGGAGCAATGGGGCTGCAGAGTCCAGATTTAGCTATGCATTAAATAACATAACCCTTATACAGCATTTGACACACACGACAACATCGCAATAACTGCTGCACCCCTCGAGGGTTCTTAGACATACGGCGACAATACTCTCTCCAATCCACAACCTGAAATTTACAAAAACGAACTGTCCATATGAAAAACAGCCGTTCAGGACCATCCCTAATCACGAGGTAGTAAATCCTTCTCCACTTCAATAACTGCCAAGTATGGTGCCTGTTGTGACGACCTCGAAACACTATGACATGGGTTTTTTAAAACTGCAGACAAAACCACCTTCAAATAGCGGCCAATAAGTGAAGTCAAAAGATGACAAATCCTCAGACCGCAGCTGAATCCTCATTTAGGAGTGAAACAAATGGAAGAAGTGCTGGAGATATCATGATATTTGAAGAGCGTTCGCAGTTTTCAAAAAATGTCGATAAATCAAACGAGGATTTTTGTTCGGAAATTGCACCAGAGAAACCAATCAGTACCTCTTTTGTCAAAAATGGATAAACCGATACATATGGAGAAATGTCTCCTTTCAATAGAGCTCCACAATCGGTGTTGACGGCGATACCACTAAGCTTTACCTTATTCTTCATCGATAAGATGGATAACCTTTTTGTTAAAAAACAAGAAGACCGATATTAAATATGACATGCGTAGTACATCCGATAAAAATGTACACTATAAAAACCATCTCGTTCTCCCAGTTTTTCCATATCGATTGGATTCTCTTCATTCACTAAGAAAACAAAGAAAATTTCTAAAACATAGCTAACTAAACTCACTTCGTCATTTTCATTGACGTACGTAGTGCGAAAATTAATAATAATATCCACTATAAACATAATATCCACTATCAAATCCACGATTTCCAACGGCTCCGAAAATCGAGCCTTACGTGAGGTATCTTGCAACTGAAGCCAACTAACTTGAGATGTACGAGTCACTGTTTATAAGCCACAAACAAAAAAAACTACTTAAAAAGCTTTTCGGTGGATAAAAGACGAAAACTTTGTGCTTGAGTATAAAAACAGCTGAAGCTGTACCTTTTTTCTCCACTCAACAATATAAGTAGACGTGCATACACGGATTACGGTATGTGGAGTAGAAAATCTGATTTTCAAAAGAAAATTAACAAACTTCTCTGAGAAGAAATGCCGCAACGTATGGTGTGAATACTGCCGTATAGATAACAAGCAGCAATATGATCCAGTCCCAGACTGCTTTAAATGGACTGAAACAACAAGGATACGGTGGGTACCGTAATCGCTTCATTTTAAGGCTATTAAAAGGTGAATGTAAATCTACGGTTGAGAATAGAAAGAAAAAACCGGAACTATTTGAAACTACGGAAAATTCTTCACCTAAAGGATGTATTTATTGCAAATGCGTTAATAAACGGAAAGAACTTGTTCCACTCATTTACCAAAAAACGTAGCAACTCTAACTGAAAACGATGGGATGAAAGAAAAATACAGAAAAAGCGCTTCCCTGAATTTTTACTTTATTCATGATGATTTTAACAACAAATGAAGGGATAAAGATCTCGGCGTTGATCACTCCCTGAGGGATGCGCCATGCATTCGACTTCATTAAGCATCGTTTGAAGGTGATTGAATGCATAATCGAGCCAGTACTGCTATCCTCCCAGAAAAGTCTGGTACCAATTTGCCGACCCCGGAGGGATGGTAGGCTTGATGGGCCGTGGGCGCGGGAGTCGATTCCACGTCTGTGTTTGTGCCTCCAACCACTGCGCCACACACGCCCTAACAACAAATAACACAGCAGATCAACAATTTTCATCAACTTCGTGTTAGTTTAAAAATAAAAAAATATTAACAAATAACATTTACGAATTCGTCACAAGACAACTTCAAGAAACTTTAGGTTTTTCGAAATCCCCATGCGGGAATATTTAATATGTAAGGAATAAAGAGAAAATCAAACAAGCCATTTTGGAATTTGAAGAGGCGAAATTCAAACAAAAAAGAAAAATAAGAGAGAATCAAAAAAAAGTTGGAATGGATGGCTGTGTTTGCCTTAAAATTTGTGCTATTGCACTATCGATTGCATGCTGTACTCTTAGCTTCGTTAAGGATAAAACTAGCAAAGAAAATTGACAATCACTGAAAATGTTGAGGTTTGCTTATTAAAGAAATTTTAATATATCAGATAATGAAGAGTTAATTGAAATAGGGGTTATGCTAAAGCATAAAACACTAAGAATTTCATGCCGCGCTATATCTTCGATAGTCCTTCGATTATTTCCCAACTTTCTCCGTTTTTCCGCATTCGCAAGGAAGAATATTATTTTCCTACAAAAGAGATGTTTGTTTCTTCTTCATCAGTCACTACTGGAAGAAAAACAAACAAATAGGAATCTGTTAAAGCAGCTAAAAAGATCCATAAGATTAAGTCAACAGCGTCATCGAAAGGCAAAAACTTCTACTTTTGATTCAATAACTAGACAAAACTTTCAAGTGGAAACAGAAAAGAAGAAGTTTCGACAGCGCTAACAGTTATGCAGTGGTGTTGCCAAACGCCCAGGTGCGGTTACTACCGAAGGTGAATGCCACATGAGTGCTCATTCACTCACTCGCTTTCCGTTTCTCACCACTGATTGGAGTAGAACGTTGCATTATCGGTTTGAGGTTGCATTTTTCAGCTCTCATAATCTCATTTCGAACAGAGCAATTCATTAAACACTTCCCCCGGAACAAAGTCTGGCGATAAGAGTCCTTTTTTCCTCCGAATTCAATGATAAAGGGCATAATGCCGAAAAAATTTACAGAGAATCGTCATCCATCCTCTTCTCCCTAAAGCATGAACGTACTTCTTTTCAGAACAAAAAAGAATTTCCTTAAATTCAGAAAAATTCTCTCCAGCTATTCGCTCGGTGGTTTAGCGTCTTGCCGTGGCTACAGATGTGCTCTTCGATGTTCAACTACGACATGTTTAGAAAGCATTACATCCCCTAGTAGTGCATCACCCAAAAAAGAGTTCGAACTTTTCATCCTGAAATTCGAGTGAAATCAAATCTGGCCCATAATTCGCCGACGCCACGTAAAAAGTTCAGCGGGAAGACGGCAAACATTCCTTCCTAATCCCCAAGGGCAGAGGCGGTGAAAAGTTGGGATTGAACTGTTGCTGTTATCTCTTGATACTCGAAAAACTCTCTTAAGAGGCAAAATTTCAGCCGAATATCAGTCTGGCAAGCTTCTTCAAGACGAGCCATCCACATTATCCTAGCATTCATCAATATCGCATAAAAAATTATTACGTTGTGTGATGCGTGCATGTATATATATATATATATATATATATATATATATATATATATATATATATATACGTTACATACATTACCACTATTGTGAGAGTGAAGTGAGCAATGACGAATTGTCGCCGAAAACACACTAGGAACTGTAAAAGAAGTATTTTTTCTTGTTTAAACACCAACATTCTGACGGTAATATGCGCTGTATTTAGCTCATATGTTTAACAATTTTCATTCCAAGTCAATGCCATTGACCTATCGATGGATTCTGATGTTTTCGCTACTCGACGTTCAGCTTCAACTCATTCGTAGCTTCAACTCATTCACTCAGCTTCAACTCATTCAACTCATTCACTCACTCAAGATAAATCTTCATTTATTTCACGCTTAACCATTTTATTTAAAAACTTCGCAAAGATTTTGTTTTTGAAACTTCAAAAGAAGAGAATAAAACACACCTGTAATGCACAATGGTGCAATGATGGATGCGCGTCGGCTGCAGCTTGTACTCCGGCAGCACATCGGCGCCCAACGAGAGCACCTAAATAGACAAAATACGAATTGATCGGTTTGTAAACTATATATTCTACTGATAACTAGTAGTTTCTTGTTCCAGAACAACCCACCTGTCGGATGGTCAAAACGGATCAATCGTCGATATTTCAATACTTATAATGTGTTATTAAATATTATTCGCTTACCGTCTGATAATATAAGCAATTTTTTAATCAGTAGCAGAAAATGAAGGAGGAGAACTCTTGAAACGTGTTTTCACAATTGTGTTAGTCGATCGATCGATCAATCGATATTGCTGTATTATCGTATTCACCTTGTACGACCCATTTTGCAATACAATCATAAGCTGTTTAGGAATAGCGGTCGACATTTGTGTTGTTTTTGAAGATGATACCGCATACTCGTCTCGATCCTAATATTCTCAGTGTATTGGATTCACGTTGCTACGGTAGGACAGTGTACAGAATGCGTCGATGGTCGCAATCACAGCATTAACCGCGTCTCAGTGTTTTTCCTGATGGAATGAACGTGGCGTTAACAGATTAAAAACATGAAGTATATCCATTATATGTGTAAGAAACATAGGAATTGAGTGAAAATTCAGTGATACAAGTAATTTCCAGTGATTTCGGTGACACATGAAAATACAGCTCAGAAAGAAGTTGAACTACTCAGATTCCAATATCAGATGCCAAAACTAAAAACAGCTAAGTAGAGCAGTTCCGCTCTAGAAAAACCTACTTAGTGGCAACATAGATGAGTTCGGCTTCTGCTAAGGAAAGAAAATTATTGGTTCGATTCACAAATGCCGATGTCGCTTGAACATGATCCCCCCCACCTATGTTTACGCAAAATGTGTGAGAAATTCTGCACGTAGAAATGTGCTAAATTTAGAAAATAAGTGTGGGCGAAATATCATTTTGAAGCTTGTTAAAGATATTTTCATACTCCGCAATCGATTTAAAGTTCTCCTGTGGCTTTCAAATTGAAAACAACGGTGACAGCCACTGCTGAAGTTAAGAAAGGTATTTTCTTCTTCATGAAAGTAAGCTTTGTCGTCCGGTTTTTTTAGAATGAACTTCCGGATTACTCTCGACAAAAAGCCCAAGAATTATAAGCAAAATTCTTGCAAATTTTTTTGCAAAACGACAAAAGAAAGTAGAAGAGAGATTGCTTAAAATTAGTAAACGTTAGAGGAGACATCAAAGTTGAAAAAGCTATGAGTTTCGGTCGGAAAAACCAAGAAAGAAACGAGCATCCCACGAGTCGAAATAGCAAAAATCGCCGAAAGACTACTGCCAACACTTCTAGGAACACTAGTGGCACAAAACGAGGTAGGCATACCGTATGAATCGTACATTGCTTTGCCAGAAGAGATCTTCAGACTGCCAAAACGTAAAAAATTATAGCGTCCTCTCCTAATGTCCATTGATCGAGTGGACGCTACAAACACTTGTACCCCCTGAGATTTGATAGAAGAGGATTCTTTGAACTCTCCATGTCGAACTCAAACTTTTTTGTGAAAACTGTTTTCGCAGCTAAACATATTGAATATTTCTACTAGGACAGTTTCTACACTCAGCAATTTAGCAAATGCTACCAACTAGTACGTAACGTCTGTATGATTTAATTACGGGATCACTCCAGTGATGATCGTGATTAAAAAACTAACAGATCCACATCACTCTTCTAAAAAAAGCTCTACTAATCCTATCGCTGCAATCGAACAACGCCACGTTCCTCTTATGAGGTCCTTCATCGTTCATGTTTTTGACAGAAGGTAGCCATTTCTCGTAATTACACTTGACCGAGTTTAGTCATTCGTAGTTGGGTATATTCAACGTTGGTTTGCTGTGTAACCAAAACAGATAACCCAGAATTGCCTCCTATAATTTTCCCAGTTACTTATCGCAAAATTTTAGCTATATTGACGTGGAAGAAGTTTGTCGCCTGAAACCACGCGCATATGGAGACAAGTACATGGTCAGTTTTGACCCACGTCTAAGCTTTTAAGACCATTTAGAGGCGCATCATCTTGTTATGATGTAGAAGAAATAGACTTGGCGAAGAGAGCGAACGAGGTGGTGGTAATTCAATGTTCAAAAAACCGCTCAAGATTGACAACTTTTATTCATCAGAATCACAAATACTCTGAGCATGGACGCTCTCCTCAAGTACAACAAACACGCTTGGAAACTCTTGACGACCATTTCAAACAACGACTGCTAATGGATCGTCACAATGAAAAAACATCGGCCATGAAAAAACTACTCAAACAGAAGCCTATTTTTAGTCGCTTTGAAATCGCTAGCCGAAATTGCGTGGTCAGAAATCATTTGCTCAAAACGTAGTTGCGTGTTTTGTGACATTTACAGCTATCAACCACCGGTAGGGTTCTTCATCAACAGAATTGGAAAATTTGTGCTGTTTTCCAGGTACTAAATTCCGAACATCGTGAAACACTTTCCGAATTGTTCACACATTTCGGCACTCAGACGACACTGATGGCACCGACAGCACTGATGGCATCAACGACCGCTCGTTCCTCCGAAGGAGTACTTTTTTTACAAATGATGTCATCTGTCGAAGCGTCCATGTCAAAAAAAATCGATTCCTCTCGGACATGTCATTTCAAGAAGACAAAGATAAAAAGTACTCAAACGAAAAACCAAGAAGAAGTCAATAAAAAAGAGCGAAATCAATGGAAGAAGCTGCGAAATTCTTTAGGCTGCGACTCCACAAGTGAGTCTCAGCGGATTTGAGGAAGTCAACTATGCGCGGCGGTTATTGTATGACTGTGGAGCACGATTATTTTAGCCACGGAATGTACTACTGACAAATGTATACTACTGACATCAAAAAGGTCAGGAATTCCAAACTTCTAACTGCTTCTTGACATAACACTAACGTCCAAAACATCACAGACACCTAATAATAATAATAATAATAATAATAATAATAATAATAATAATATTATAATAATAGTAATAATGAATAATATTAATAATTAATAATAATACTTAATAACAACGTTAATAATAATAATGATAATAATAATAACAACCCCAATTATCATAAAAGACACTTCAGCGAAAAAAATTTCAACTTCTTGTTGATAATTCACGATTTCATCACCATAACGTTTCTCTTTACCACCAAAACCTCTCATGTTAAAAATCCTTAACAGAAGCATCTATTGTTATTATAGCTGGTCATCACTGATTATTTCACCACTTTTCTAGGCAGCTTCAGCAACTAAATTTTAAATCTTATGTAATAGATACGCGTGTGCCACGTGACCGGAGGCGCTCTGCAACACACACGTGGAGTAGATCCCCGCGCACATGGCCCACCAAGCTTTCTACCCCGCCGGGGCCGGCAAATTGGTGCCAAACCTGTCTGGGAGGATAGCAGCACTGGCTCGATACATCAGTAGGCCATCGTGAGTCATCGTAAAGGCCAGATATACATTCAATCACCTTCAAACGATGCTTAATGAAGTCGAATGTATGGCGCATCCCTCAGGGATTGATCAACGCCGAGAGCTTTATCCTTTATTTAGTTTTATGTAATAAGCGTATCAGATTACTTAACAGTTTAGCAGATGATATTTTAAAGAAAGGTAAGGAAATAAGGTCGAGGAGTCACAGGACGAACTTCTGGGCCATAAAAGTACTGCAATAGTCAGATGGAAAAAGCGACATAGGAGGCAATTCCGTAATCGAGTAGATTTCATAAAAGTGTTAGTCATAAAAAATTATAAACAGTTGAGAAAAAAATGAAAAAGCCTTCACGAAGAAAAGAATCGAACTACTATAGAATAATTAAGTTCTGATTAGTAATCGCCTGTCAATAACGATTCGAAATGAGGCAACAACGATAACCATAAAACTGCACGTTACCGTCAATCAGTGTTTGTTTTATGTTTTTAAAGGGTTTCTTAAGCGGCCAAGAAGAACATCTACGAAAAAGTTTTTTCCAGTGAAAAGCTAAAACAAGAAGCTGAACAATATGCTGAGAGCGCTAGTCGATTAGTATGCAAGTGGTACTTTAGGAGTAAGGCCAAAAATGCAAATGGCACTTTAGAAGCGACGGACGTCAAAGGCGAAGAGAAAACGATCGAAGGCGGGTGAATAGCAATTATTCATTGAAAAATTCAGAATATGAGTTACACCAATTCGAACTCGTCCCATAAACTCGATAGAGAACAAACTTCAGCATTAGCCTTACATCAAAAAAGAACAACAAGAATAACAAAGAAAAGGGCAAGAATGGCGTTCATACCTACACAAAGATTTTCTCTGTGAGTCCAAATTATCAATAGCACTAGGGCAGTTATTATTCCCCTATAGACGAAGAAAGCGCTTAAAAAAGACATATGCCATGCGTATCCGAGAAAACAGATATGTAGTATAGTTCATCTTTAAAAAAGGAGCAGAATAACTCACAAATCTTGTACATCTGCAAAAACAAAAAAAAATCCACCACTGACCTCAGGACTAGCTCTGGTTACTCTAGCTATCAGAGGCTATTGTGACCACAACAGTATTTTTTTACACATGAAGTTGATAAATATATTTATTTTTGATTAACGTTTCGACGTTTTCGCATTCATTAAAGCTGATGATCCGAGTCGATAGTTCACGCTTGTTATTCGTCTCGATGTGGCGCCTTCGCCTTCGTGTCGAGTCAGGTCTTCCTCAGCAGCCATTCCCTCGAATGACGCATACTCACTCGGTGATGCCCTTTTATGCAGGTTGCTGATGGTGGATATAATGATAATGTCCGGTGATAACAACTATGCTGGGAAACCGTCACATCGAGACGAATAACAAGCTTGGACCATCGACTCGGATCACCGGCTCTAATGAAGACGAAGACGTCGGAACGTTAACCGAAAATAAATATATTTATCAACCTCGTGTAGGCTCATCAAAGAAAGAATACATATTGATTAGTCAAACCGAGGTTAAAGCAAAGTCTGTTTCGAAATATTTTTTGAAGTATTCGATGAGACAACAGAATCTGACGATGACTGCTAATAGTCCCCAGGATCGACTTTCTCTTAACCTCGGCATTGGAATATGAATGTGTCGTTTTCTTGTTCAGCAATCGCGAGGTTTTTAAACAGCATATATTTACTTCCATAAAAAACACAATACAATACAACGCTAGCTGACGTTTCGGCAGTATCGCCTTCTTCAGAGCCGCTTTTTCGTGACTTCCAATGAGGAAGTTTAGAACAGCTGATTATAGTCGCATGTGGTTGACGACTCCGACGACGATGACTGCTAACCCAAAACTTGGCTGGCAGTGAACATAGTGAAATGATAGTCAAGAACAACCGAGCCGAGAATAAACAATCTAAGCGTTTTATTTTTGCTTATAACAAAATGAAGCAAAACACGAACGATTTCATATGTAATAGCATGTTCTAAAGTCATGACAACGTTACTTTCC